CTGGTTTAAAATTTATATGAAAAATCTGCCAACGCAGTTGACTTAGATGCCTCATAACTGGAGAATATTTGAAGTTGGAAAAGGTTTTCTTGCACTGTTGCTGATCTTTCTGTTTATTTTGGATTCAGAGTCGAAAGCTGATGATCAGCAAAGGAGTCTAGGCACTGAAACCCATACTGAGAAGCGATCAAGGCGTAAGCGTGATGATCATGGTGCTGGAGACAAGAATCAAGATAACAGTGATGATGACTACATTAAAGATGGGAAACATAGAGGAGAGAAGTCCAGAGATAAATATCTGGAAGAGAAGGAAGAAGACGTCAAACAGACAGGTGAAAAGCAGAGAGAAGACCGAACTACTAAAGAGCATCATAAGTCTGATGGAAAGCACCTCCCAGATGAAAGTAAAAGGAAGTCCAAATTACAGGATACTGACCATGGTCATGAGCCTGACAGTGAACTTGATGGATATCACGAGCGTGACCGAGACCGTGAACGAGCTCGGGATCGTGATCGTGACTATGAGCGAGACAGGGAACGTGATAGGGACAGGGAACGTGATCGCGATCGTCGTGATTATGAGCATGATCGTTACTATGGAAGGGATTGGGACCGTGACCGTGATAGGAGTAGAGATCGTGACAGGGATCATGATAGGGATAGGACTCATGAGCGAGAGAAAGACCGTAGCCGTGACTATTATCATGAAGGGAAACGAAGTAAAAGTGACCGGGAAAGGGATAATGATCGTGATGTGTCGCGTCTAGATGATCAAAGTGGTCGGTATAGAGAAAGAAGAGAAGGGAGGAAATCTCCAGATTATCAGGAGGTCGTCATGGACACTAGAAGTAGCCGAGCAGGGCCTGATGGTGATGTGATAAAGTCAGAGCGTCAACCTTCCAGTTCGGTGGTTCAAGAAGAGAATGGGTATGTTTTTCCTCTTTAACCATTTTTATTTTTGTGTACTTAGAAACGTTTGGTCTGCTGTCTTTGGAGGCTTTATTATTTCTTTTGACGCTAATGGTGATTTGTGCTCCTGCTTGAATTTCAGATGTTATATATGTTAAAAAGAAGCTTGATATTGATCATAGTTTTTTATGGTGAAACAGGAATGTCTCAGATCAGACAACAAAATGGGCTTCTTCCAGGGAGGCGGCTGAGCTGTCTGGAGGATCAGACAGAGGCACAAGACAGAGAGTGTCTGAGAAAACAGTAAAGACGGAAGATGGTGTTTTGGGCGAGTTTCATGGTTCCACAAAAGCTTCTCCCCGCCCCATGGTTGAAAGGTCTCCTTCATCGACAAGTCTTGACCGGAGATTCAATAATAATCAGAGTAGTGCAAGATGGGGCCTTGAGGGTGAAGAAACAGGCCTTAGGAACAACGCGAGAGATTATTCAGCACCCGAGGATGAAAGGCTTCGTGTTGATGACACAGCACAGGGAGATATATCATTTAACAACAAAGCCAACCAGAACAATTCTTCCTTCCCTCCACGACCCGAATCTAGGAGTGGCATGAGTAGTCCTAGAGTGGGCCTGCGAGAAGATGACAACAGGAACAATACCGGTGGGCGTTATAGGAGAGGCGTTGATGGGATGATGGGAAGAGGGCAACAAACACAGGGTAATAATGCTTGGAGAGGTGTCCCAAGCTGGCCAACTCCACTTCCGAATGGGTTTATACCATTCCAACACGTTCAACCTCATGGTTTCCAGACTATGATTCCACAATACCCTTCTCCATCTATCTTTGGGGTGAGGCCTTCAATGGAAATGAACCATTCTGGAATCCCGTATCATATACCTGATGCTGAGAGGTTTTCTGGTCACATGCGTCCTCTTGGGTGGCAGAATATGATGGATAACTCAGGTGCTTCTTCTCACATGCATGGCTTTTTTGGGGACATGAGTAATAGTGCTTTCAGGGATGAATCAAACATGTATGGAGGATCTGAGTGGGACCATAACAGGCGGATGCAGAGCCGTGGTTGGGAGTCTGGTGCAGAGGAATGGAAAAACCGAAATGGAGATGCGAGCATGGAAGTCTCATCAAGATCTGCTAAAGATGATAATTCGGCTCAGGTTGCTGATGGTGAGTCTCCTGGTGGCCAAACAAGTCATTCAGAAAATAACAGGGGAAAAAGCGTTGAAGCTGGGTCTAATCTAACATCTCCTGCTAAAGAACTGGATGCAAGGTCTCCTAAAATTAAGGTGGAAGTTGCAGATGAAGATCCTGTTGCAGAAACTACTGATAAGAGAAGTGAACGTTTTTGCCGGCATTATCTCTCAAAGCTTGATATGTCGGTAGAACTTGCTGATCCTGAGCTGCGTAAATGCATCAGCTTATTGTTGGATGAAGAACATCAACCAATTGATGATGGAGCTGCTGTGTTTGTGAATCTCAAGGTAAAACTCCTTATCCTCAAACACCAACATCATTCATTCTGTAACTGTATTGGCTGGTAGAACCTTTTCTCATATCTCTCTATATATTCTTTTGATAACAGGAAGGTGGGAAAAGAGTGCCAAAAGGAAACAGTACTTCCTTGGCGGCTCTTTCATTGTTTCCTGCTCAAAACAGTTCATTGTTTCAGGTAAATGCACTAATAATAGGAAAATAAGATTTTGATATTAGCTTCCTGCAATTCTGCCGAGAGTTATATGTCAATATGTGTTTCTTTCCACTTTCAGATAGCGATGGAACTCTACAAGGAGCAAAGATTTGAAATGAAGGGTCTTATAAATGTTGAAATTCACAGGCCTGCTCCTCAAGCCTCCCCTTCAAGCTTGGTTAAAGTTGATATGTCAGATACAGACATATCCCAAAAGGAACAGCAGAACGTATCCTCACCTGTTGATACCGGATTGGAGACTGGAACACAAGTTGAAAGATCTTCATCTCCCATCCCATACAAGTCACCGGAGGCTCTGGCCTCTGATCATTTTGAAGGTTGTGAGGAAGATGTAAAGCCAGATGATGGAGCTGCTGTCGACCAAACAATGGATATGGCTCCTGAACATGATCCTGTTACCACAGAAGGCGATCTTGTTACAACAGAAGACGATCTTGTTACCACAGAAGGCGATCCCTTGACCATAGCTTCACCAGAAGCTCTCGAGGCTATGGAGGTTGATGAGGGGAAGGTATTGTGTGAAGACAAGAACATGGAAGAAGCAGAAGAGAAGGAAGCTGAAGCTGATGATGGTAATGGTAATGGTGTAGTATCTCCAAAGGTAAAGGAATCATTAGTTAATGAAACTGATGAGTCAGTAATAAGTCAGATACATGATGCTACTCAAAGTACACATTAAAGACAATTTCTATTTTGCATCTCATTTCTGTTTTGTTTTGCTTTAAATTTTCAATGCCTTAATTAAAAAACATTGCTTATTTTTCTTCTGTTCCTCTATTTTGTGCCCTCCTTTCTCATTTCGTGCAAAGAGAAATAATAAAACATGTTAGAAAAAAAAATCCTGTGTAGTCTTTTTTTCCTTCTTTTTCTATTTCTCGTTTTTGTTTGATATTTTTGAGAAGTTAAAACCTTAAGAAGTAAAGTTTTGAAGAGTTAGCTAACAAAATACATTTCATGAGCTTTAGTCTCCCTGAGATTCCTATTAAAGCGTGGGAGAGCAACAGGTTCTTGCCTTCTTATTATGTGTAAGGAGCAGCTCCAGCAAAGTTTCATGAATTTCCTGCAGTTGAGAGCATTGCATATAACATGTCACCTTGAATTCATCCAGCTAATCTGTATCAAACAAGTAATCTCATATCTGCCAAAACGCACACGTCCATGTCATATTCACTGAATGAATCAAATGGTGATGCTTAATTGTGTAAAGAGAGATATAATACACATAGGTTAATTCCTCCCACATGTACACTTATACAGTGTACTGGTCTTGGCAATCAGAACTTACTTGAGCAGAGCCTGCTGGTCTTGAGCGATATTCCCTTTTATGTAGCATCAACTACAACCTCCTCACTGATCTTAAACAGCTGCAACACATTTAAAACTAACATAAAGTTCAGAATTCTATATGCTCACTCAAGACTGTAGCAATAGATAATATAAGTTCCAGTTCAGATAGCAATTCTTATCTTCCCTATGTTATCTTGTTTCCCTTAAGTATGCAGTGATTCCTCTCACTTTGATCCCTACGGTATTCAAGAACCTGAAAAGAAAATGCATATCAACACTAAACACAATAGATGACTTGGGTTCCTCTGCCACATGCTACACAATTATACTTAACCAAAAATACTCATTTCAAGGTGTGTGTCCTGATGCAATTTGCTTTATTACACAACAGAAAACAAGTTTCTTAGTAAGTGCATTCAGAGTTTGTATCACTGCTGAAGGACGATGACGTGCTCCTCCTGGGTGGTGAGGGATACCTTCTTCTTCAGTTCTCTATAATGATTAGAGCATGAGCCATGTATTTGGTTACATATCTGGAATTAATCAAAAAAAGGAGAAGAGGTTCTTGTGTTTTTAGTTTTACACATAGTGAAACTTCCCACAAATGGATGGGAACAAGTTACCATGGCGTGGCCCATGGGAGCCAAATCAAATGAAAGCAAAAAAGGTATATACATTCACAACATTACTTGATGGAATGCTAAAGATCCCCAAAGCTGGTTCCATTTATTCATCACTCTCAGAAACATACTTCAGTCTGAAACCAAGCACATGTCACTGTGAACCCACAATGTCTCCACATCTCCTATTGATCAGGCAACAATGCAAAATTCTCAGTGATATTGCTAAAACGCTCTTTTAAGTAATATGCATAAACCAAGAAAATCAATTTTTACTGTGAAGAACACCTTTTTAACCGTTTCCATTATATTCATAATCCTTTTAGAAAATACTTTTTTTTTTTTTGCATTGAACCATTTTGGGGTGGATCTCAATTATTATCATTTCTCAATGATAATACACAAATGGAATTTGAATTTGCAATTACATGACTTTTGGATCAAATAAATACTTAAAAATATTTATAATTATTATAGATATATAATATATCTACACATCTCACACCACCATAACATGACTTCTGTAGCTACAATTTTCTTTCCTTAAAAAAGCTTATTTTTAGTGAAACCCTTTATATACAAAAACTAACTTGATGCTCATAACATCATATTGTTATATATAAAACAAAACTAGTTTCTAATGACATGATCTCCTCATTCTTCCAACTTTCTTGCTTTTGCTCAGTCCCATCTCATTCTTCTGAACCCATTCTACTTCCTCTCCTCTGTTTTAGCAAACCTTCCTCGGATCCTTGGTTGGCTATCTGCAAGAGCTTTCCTACATGCATACTGAAACCAAACAATACAACACAACACAAAGAGAGTTAAATTCAAGCTAAAATGACTCTCATTCTCAAATTATTTAGAGGCTCTTTTCTAAGTGTTTTGTTTGTATACCTTGATTTTGCGTCCGAAGTTTCGTCTGCTCTTCTTGTTCCTGTATCGAGACAGCTTCTCACGTCGATCATCTGAAGTACAACTCACAATAATCATATCCAATGGAGACTGAAAATGGCCAGTCCCAAGTTTCTGCTCATCCAAAAAAAAAGAAAACCCTAAATCAACATTTCATATTCATATAATAGTCTAAAAAGGACACAAACTTTGTGTAAAAGGTTCAAACCTGTATGTCGCCTTCACTAAAGGCTCGTCGCATCCCATTAACATAACCAAAATCCATCTGAGCAAAGTCAGGGAAGTTCTGAACCACAACAGCTTCTTGCTGCACCTGTGACCAATCCATAGAGCTCAAATTCTCCGAGCTAACACTCTTCAGCAAATCTTGATTCTCATTGGTCACCAGAGAGATGTTCTTGACATCTAAAACATCAGAGAATGGAGACTCCATAACTGATTTCATCATAAGATCTTGCTCACATTCATAAAAGGCTTTGTCAAGAAGCTCTTGACCACTCTGCAAGGACCCTAGATCAGGAAGCTCACAAAGCCCTTGCGAAGAGTCTTCTCCGCAAGAGATCATTGTCAAAGCAGCTGAGAGTGGATCAACGGCTAAGAGTGGCTCTTCAAGAATAGGATCAGGAGCTTTGAATAGATCTCCTTCTTCTCCAAGATCATACTCAGATATGTTTGTTGACTCAGCAAAAGCGTTGTTCTGTATAAAAAAAAAAAAAGAAATCACAATCAAAAGTAGCATCAGAATCAAAGACCACAACACAAAACAGAACATAACATAGTTCAAGACATTAAGACAGTAAAGCACGGATCTTTATGGGAATGGATCCTTTTTTTTTTTCCTTTAGTGGAGGAAGAGCCAATGAAACAAGACACACCCGTTTGTAGTCTTGAAGGACACGGAATCTCATGTGAAAAGGGCACAGTTTCCCATTATCATATCTCAGACTCAAAAAGGGTTTCTTTAGTTTTCCGAGAAAACTTTTTTTTTATTTCTCAATGGAAAATAAAAAAAGTTGGCTTTTTGCTGCAGAAGAAGATTCCGTTTTTATTAAAAAGATTCCATTTTTCTTCTCTCAAAAAATGAAATTAATTTCTTTTTCTACTCAACCAAAAGCACTTTACGGTCAGGTCAGGGGAAGACAAATATCTTATCAAAGTGAAGTGACCACTTAAGAGTTCACACCACAAACGTTTCCTCTTGAAAATCAACTTCACTAGTTGACAAGTTTACTTAGTTCAGCTTCTAAACACTTCAGTTTTAACTCCCATAAACCAAAACAAAAAGAGGAAGAAATAAGTTTCATTACATCAAAAAGACAAAAACCTTACCAGAATCTTCTAGGAAAAACCCAAAAACCCATTTTAAAAATCAACCAAAAGAAAAAATAAAGAAGAGAGAATTCATCAGAGTGAAAAAGAACAAGAAGATCTGTGTTCTAAAATACAGTGAGATAGAAATCAAACCATTTCGTCATTGGAGAGCTTGTATGATTTGAAGAGGTCTTCAATTTGTTGAAAATCTGGTGGAAAATTATGCATGTAAGGGAGCACTAACCCAGAATCTGCATACATTTTTTGTGTTCTTGCTGTTTGTAAGAGAGAACTTTGGAAGTGTCAAATGGGTTTCCAGAGAAGAGGGGGAAGAGAAAGTGAACATAAAAGAGAGCAAACAAGAAAAACAGAGGCCAAGTTGGGAATTTGAGTAGAAATAGATCGGTACTTTAGTCTCTTTTTATGAGAGAGAGAGAGAGGCTTGATGCATCTCTTTGTGCTACTGCTGTGGACACACTTTAGTGTAAAAAGCCCATAAGGCCATTATTATTATTTTATTTATAAAACATATATACAGCAATATAGAAAAACGAAATGGTGTCCAAGTCCAACTACATATAAAAGTATTTTGTAGTGTAATTATTCCATTGTTTTTTCTTTAAATTTATTCCATTGTTGTATACTCCCTCTATTTCAATATTAATACATATTTTAAATTTTTTACACATTAATAAAACACATATTATGCATCATTTTTTATGACTATCATTTTTAATAATTTTAAACCAATAAAAATCTAATAAATGCAATTAAAGTTTTTGAAATTTACAATTAGTCATTATTAGTTGATAAATATGCATTGAAAATATAAAATGTATTTTTTTGAGACAAGATTTTTTTTCTAAAACATTTAACTTAATGAAACAGAAGGAGTGTTTTTCTTTGTAACACAAACATAAGGAATGTACTCCCACCGTTTCAGATTATTTGTCATTCTAGGTTTTTACACACAGATTAAGGAAACATTTAATTTTACATATTTTCAATATAAAAACACAATTACCAATACACCTAACCATTTTTCAACAAATAATAAAAATAGAATATCATATAAACATAATAAATTTTGTCTCGAAACTCTAAAACGACACTTATTTTGAAACAAAATTTTTCCTCTAGAATGACATCTAATTCGAAACGGATGGAGTATTATATATGTTTTCTGAGCAAATATATTTCTATATGTTGTCATATTTTTATTTTTCGTGTTGTATTTGTATTACTTTTTAAGTTCAAACTCTTTAAGTTCAAACTGTTTTTTATAACTCTTTAAGTTCAAACTGTTAATCACAGCAAATAAGTTCTGATTTGGTCAGTTATCAGTTGTTTATGTAACGTTTTTAACCTTTTTATTGTTTTCACGAACAATTTTTTTTTTCTTTTACGAACACACTTTACTTCTGTTGGATTTTCTGTTTTTCAAATCTATAGATTTGTTGATCACCACGAGAATATTTATTTTTACGTGATTTGTCTTCACGTTCGTAGAGGTGCTTTTTTGACATAATGCATACAAAGTTAAAACTAAAAGAGTTGCATGATATCGATTTTACTCCTACTTTGGTTTTTTTTTTTTGGCTAAAAACTCCTACTTTAGAATTCATGTGAATTATTATCAAACACACAAAAATAATCATTTGTCATAAGATTAATCTAGAAAACTTATTCCTATTTTTGCATCAAAAATATAAAACATCACTTAAAACCAAAAAACAAGGTAAAACATCACTTAGTATGATACAAATGTAGAATTAGATTAATGAGTCTTCACATGAGGTTAAGAACAAAAGGAAGACAACTTTTGATATGTAGTCTGATTTTTATTGGTTAGAACGGCTTTCAATATGATTCGAGTTTAATTTTAATTTATTTTGTAATGAGTAAAAGTTATATATGTAAGCATGCAATTAGAACAGGTGAAGCATGACGACTTCAACTTGCAAAGGAAAAGTCCATAGCAGTGCACTTTGTCCATTTCCAACACGTCTTTTCATATATATTCCAATTTTCAATCATATTGCTTCTTTTTCCTTTTAACTAAAACACTATGACAACTGTGCATATATACTCTCAAAACGCGCTTACATATTTTACATGCCAACGACATGACTTCTTGAGTTTAAGAATTTTGGTGAGTAAATAAATCACTTTTGTATAGAGAAGAAATGTAATTTTGAATTGAAAAAATTTGGTGTAAAGAAACCATGAATATAGGTGACTATAAAACTAATATATATAAAAGTTTCAAAAGTATATGAAAATTATCACTCAGAAAGGAAGTGAATCATGCAAAAAGAAAGTTTAATAATTGATAAAGATATACTAATAAATAAGTTTATGTGCTTAAATGAAGACTGGATTTCTGTGGTGGGTTGCATGTTGTTCCACAGCCGTACTGAGGTTGCCTTCAGAAAAAAAAATCACATGCATTTAGAAATGAAAAACAAATATAAATAAATTATATAAATATTTTGTTTTTAATAAATAATAAATCTAGAAATCAAATTGCATGTGTGTATATCAGCGCATAGACGGTTACCTACCTTGATTTTTTGTAAAAATCAGAAATTATCGGAAATGCTAATATGTGAGAAATTTTTATTGAATACAAGAATAGAAAAATCTGTTTTGTTGACTAGAAATATTTGAAAATAGTCAAATTAATTAATTCTCATATATTACACTAATTATTATCACTCAAATTTGTTATATTCAGTTTACAAAAAAAAAAAAAATTTGTTATATTCGTTCGAAACGGTTTGTTCTATCCATTCCACATATTTTGCATTCATTATATTTGTTCTGCTTGTTCTACATAATTCACTTATTCAATTTTGTTATCACCACCCTATGTATTAAAAAATGAAGAAAACACGTCAACAGATAATCTAAATTAACTTAAACTAGATTTTGACCCGTGCAACCGCGCGGGTGTTTGTTTTTGTTTATAGTTATATAAACATTTTGTTTTCACTTGTAAATTGGTATATATTATAGTAATCACATATTTAGGATATGTATAGTAAATTTTTTTCAAGCATAATAATATTATATAATAAATGTTTTAATCAAATAGATTGTTTCAAATTTTCTATATTATACATGACTTTCAAACATGTGT